TTTCAAGCCTTTATTTTGTTTACTGTAACGTATCATCTCTATCAGGTCCGCTTGCCATAAATCGTCGATTCCTTTCAATATTACTTTACGCATTTTGAAATTCTTCTCGCAGGTCGATGAACTTCTTCTACGATTTGTCGTTTTACCTCCGACATGTTTGTTATACGGATTCAAATGAGGAAATGATTAATATCGGCATGATATGGAAGGTTTTATACAATTATTCGAGCATCGCAAAGTTTATTTTCAATATATACGATTTCAGATTTACTATTCTGGTCTCGAGAGGTCAATAAATTCCACTGCTACTGTAACGTTTTCTGTGAGCGTTTGTGTGCGTTAGAATACTTTTATAATGCTTTCTATCATCAGCATCCACAAGCATGAAATTCGGGTTTTTCATGAATATCAATTCCATGAGTCCCGGTGTAGCGATGTACCTTTCTTCACCAATCTCTAATTCATTATTTCCAATCGTGACTATACTGTCACCCATTGTAAATTGTTTTCCATCGTAACGTACCCCATAAGTTTGATCCAACCCTCCTAGGTCATTATTTAAAAATTTCATAACGTACTTAGATGGAGTCTCACCACTTTTTCCAGAAAATCGAAAGCTATTTTTATTCCTTCAGGAGTTCTAACTTCTTCGCACACTTGCTCGAGTATAGGTTTACACGGAGTGAACTCAAACACGTCTGGTTCAGAAAACATAGGTTGCAGTTTCTCATTGCCATCGTCGGTGTTTTCAATGTTTATGGGTGAATTTTGGGGGCTTGTGGGCTCTGTTTCTTCTTCATCCTTATACGATGGGGCCAAATCTATGTCTCGTGACTTGGATCTAAATACGTCCAACACTATTGATTTGATACAGGTGTCTGTTCGAGAGGAGTCGGTATGTATAATCTTTTCGGGTATAATCGTTTCTGTGTATAAAAACTGGAAGGAATGACGGGTTTCTGAAACGGATGTTACATTGATTGTGGGCGGCACCTCTGTACTCTCCGGTTAAATGGTTATGATCCCTAACTTTTATATCACCAGGGCTAAAAGGTTGACAGCAAATAAAACAAATTTTAGCTTCTTTATATTCGAGCATTTCTATATCCGTCAATGGATTCATAGGTATTGTTTGCTTGTAAACAGTTGATACCTCTTCAGCAATTCGTTTTAGATATTCTATGCAGTGAAGAGCTGCATTTTTCCCCCGATATAAGTAAGGAGTGTCAAAAGTAGAAAGCGTTTTGTTTTTAAATTCGGGTGTGTTCACGACATATACGGCAAAACTCATGGGAACATGTCGATGTACAAAAGTTGTAACAGAATTATAGGTTTTGCATTTTTTGTCTGTTGGTTCCAATATAGATTCAAAATCACAGTACACAACGTACTTGTAAAGTGCGCTCAAAATTTGAAAACTTTATGAAATTGTTTTCCGGAAAACCTACCCTAGCCGGTTTATTCTTATTACATAGTCGTTTGTGTTCTGAAAACTTTTCGAAACCATTGTAACGGTAATCATAACCGTCTTGACCTTCTTTCTTAAAACTGTACCTAAAGCCGTTTCCGGCTCCTTACAGTGTATTGGCTTTCAGCTTTGTGTTGCTTTTTTATTATAGACGGAAGCTGATAGAACTTTCGGAGTCAGAATAAAGGATCATGGCAAAAAAAAAAAAATAATAATAATAAATCAAAAGTAATAATACTAGTAATAATAATAAATTAACTTAAACTTAAAAACTTAAAATTAACTAAAATAAATAAATACAGGGTGAATTGCTACTCGTGCTACAAACTTCACCAGTAGATTCTTGACCCTAAAATGAACAAAAAAGTTCATATTGACCATGGTCCGATTCTCAACCATTTCAGAGTAATTTCGCTTTTTANTTGGTCATTTTCGTCGCTCTGGTTGATGACTTTGACACGGTTGCTGATGTTGCATCGTTCATGCGCTGATTAGTACGAAGAAAAAAAGAAGAAAAAAAAAAAAAACAGCGTTTAGAACATAACAATCAGTGTGTGCTGCTCACGCTTGCCATCCTTTCATCCTCATTACTGCTGTCCAGAAGGTGACCGTTGACTCGAAGGTTGTTGCTGTGCTTAATGCATTTTTCAAACTGTCTATATCAGCTGCTGGCACTTTTGCTGCTTGCATCCACCTTTCGCGATCCACCTGGTACTGAGGGCATCTAAGGATGACGTGTTCTGCAGTTTCCTCATGGCCGCAGCTGCATAACGGGTCCGGCTTCAAATTGAATCCGTGTAATTTAGCAGCAAAGTCACCATGTCCTGACAGGAGTTGAGAGGTGAAGTGGTCCACCTTTATGTGGTCCATCTCCATTCTCCTCTGTACATCGGGCAACAGGCTGTATGTGTACCTCCCCTTAGAAGAGGCATTCCATCTGCGCTGCCATTCTTCTATCATCCAAGTCCTTGCTTCGCCTAACGTGTTTACAGGTAAACACGGAGGGTAGTTATTCTGTAGCTCCCACACCGCGCATGTTGCTCGCGCTAGCAGGTCGAGGGGGGGTCTGCCAGCCATCACCAACAAAGCATCCGTCGATACAGTTCTATACGCTTGAGTGACAGCCAACAAAGCAACCCTCTGAGCTCTAAGTAGTTTAGACATTTCGGGCAACCTCAGCTTTCCAATCCATGCCGGCGCAGCATACAACATAACCGACTCGCACAAGGCCTTATAGAATATTTGCCTAGTCTTGTACGATATGCCCCACGTCGCGCCACACAAGGACCTGATTGCAGCCACCCTGCTTGGTATCTTGTCCTTGACATATGCAGCGTTTGGTCCGAATCTTAAGCCAGCGGACATCTTGATGCCTAAGTAAGTGATTTCTGGTGGGGTTTTTATTGTCCGACCATTCACTCGGATGACGGGTGGGGAGCGCATATTTAAGTTTCCCTTTAGCAGCATAAGCGACGTCTTCTCCACTGCTATCTGGAGCTTTACCCCTCTACACCATCGACTTAGGTGACCCACCGCGACATTCCCCTTTGCTTCCAATTCAGCTTTCGTGTTTGCTGATATCACTACTACCAAATCGTCAACATAAGCTAGTGCCCTAAATCCCTCAGAACTCAGCACCGCAAGTGCTCCGTCAAAGAGGACCGACCACAGAAAAGGGCCGAGGACTGATCCCTGAGGGATCCCCATTTGCACTTGTCTGTGACAGCAAGATCCATATGCCGGCAAAGAGGCGCTCCTGTCTTTTAAGTAATTGGCCACAAGGGCGCATAACGCCTTATCTACACCCCGTTGCATTAGGCTATCCACAACTGCCGGCCACCACATGCGGTCAAAGGCCTTGCGGATATCGAAAAATATGCCTGCAACATACTTCTCTGGGGCGGTCGTTGTAAACTCTACAATGTCCCTGATGGTATGGGTCGTGCTTTTTCCGGGCATGCCTCCAAACTGACCACGGTGCAGGATTGGGTCAAGAATTCCTCTAAGTCTGGATAGCATTAGGTGTTCGAGTGATTTACCTAGGACTGAAAGAAACGAAATTAGCCGGTAGGATGAAGGGTGATTCTCCGGACGTCCCGGCTTTAAAAACGCGCAGATCCGCGCCTTCTTCCAGGTCGTCGGGAAATATCCGGCTCGCAGGCAATCAGTCATGAGTTGTTGCAGGTATGGCATGATGGTGGTGGAATTGCTTTTGAGTATCCATGCTTCAACTCGGTCAAGGCCTGGGGCGCTTCCTGATCTCATTCTGGCAATTGCCGAGAGAACTTCCTGGCCAGACCACGGGGTTGCAGTGTTTTCACTCATGGGGACTTGCTTTGTTCTTGCCCTTATTTCACAATGCTCAGCCTCGTCACTCATCGAGTCGTCATCCGGGAAGGCCTCCTCAAGGAGGGCTTGTCCGGAGGCTTCAATGCATTGACCCTCTCTACCAAAGGGCTCCAGGGCCAGACGGTTAGTTATTTTTCCGCGGGCAACCTTGGAATGTAGACCCCATCTATCTTTATGGTCCTGTTCTTCTACAAAACTTTTCCAGGATTTTCGCTTTTCTTTCCTTAGTTGCTTCCGGAAGGCGCGCTTTGCTTTATAGTATTGCAGTTGAAGTTCTTCTTTGTCCTCCGGTCGGGTGCACATCTGGTACCTACGTCTAGCGATCTGGGCTGCAGCTTTACTTACAGCGACACTCTCTGTCCACCATACTGGGCCTGTGCGTGACATGGATGTCTTTATGACTCTCTCAGGACCTATTACGAGTGCAGTTGTGAGAGTAGCGACCTTCAGGTCTATTTCACTTATACTTACACTTGGCCACAGCAGGATATCGGCATCTCGTGCAAGGTCGCTTTTTAAGTTGTTACCTATTAAATCCTTATTGCTACTATCCGAGCGAATTCTTTTTGGTCTAGGGTCCAATGGCATCCCGGGGCCGTGTGGGAACAGTTCATAAGTTATCCACGCATGGTCACTCGTGGTTCCATTAATATCAATTTGGAATTTTCCCACTAGTCGATGTAAAGCTGGTGACATGATTGTGAGGTCGACCGCTGACTCGCCCTGAGAGGCACTATAAGTGCATGGCGAGTCCTCAGCATTCAACAGGAGAAGGCCCTCATCTTCAATGAAGTTTAGGATTACCTCTCCTCTGTTGTCGACCCGGGCGTCACCCCATGCCGTGTGGTGGCCATTGAAGTCGCCTCCAATAATTGCCGGTCTTGGTTTGTATTTTTTGAGAAGGTCGCAAAGTTTTGTCATGTATCTGCCTATATCCATACGTCGGTCACAGTATAGAGATACAATCAGAATTTCTTCTCCCTGCCACTGAATGAGGCAGCAGGCCATGTCACCGTCGCTCTCCGGGAGACTCACTAACCTGACATTGTTGTTTAGTAGATATATTGCCGCGCGTAAGGGGCCCAGGCCCCTGGATCGAACAGTCCTTGAGGCTAATCCCATGGCCTTGATTCTGTCCACTCTCCCTTTGCACGGTTCTTGCGCTAACACAATGTCAGTTTTTTGGGCATGGGCAAGAGCGCGAGCCTCATCACATACTGTTTGCGAACGATGAAAATTTAGTTGCGCGATCCTCAAAGGGCGGCTACTAGTCTTTCTTCTGTGAGCCATGTGAATTCTGTAAGATCGTACTTATCAGGTCGCTGGTGGCCGCATCCTCGCACGTTTGTTCTGGTTGAGGGTCGACTTCTTCAGGATGGGGGATCGGCTTGGTGCTATTTACAGCGGGTATCTCTGGTGTATCGCCGTAGTCAGTTGTGCTTTTGACCTTCACTACCGCTCTTATGTGAGCCTCGCAGCTTCTTGAGCCGGCCCTGTGGTTGTAATCTATTCCAAGGCGATGACAGTTTGCACATTTTGCTGCTTCTTCCTTGCAGCTTCTAGTATCGTGTGGTTGTGCGCATTTTCCACACACCGGATCCAGTTTTGGGCATGTTGCAGCTACGTGGCCATACATCTGGCACTTATAGCACCTTGTTATGTCCACATAGTCCCTTGCTGGACAGGACTGGTAATCGAGGTATACCTTGTTTTTCTCAAGGACAGTTTTTCGGGCGCTAGGCGGTAACTCGACTACCCACGACACGAAAGGGTTGGAACCTCGCTGACCTCTTCCATAGCGGAGCGTGTGCAGCGGTCTTATTTGGTTTAGTTCGACATCGAGTTGGTTATTAGCCATAATTTCTTCTCTGACGTCGTTAGCTTTAAGCTCGGCTGGTACTCGAAGTACCAGGATGCGAGGGTTTCTTTTACCCATCTCGCGGGCTTTTAGGTTGGTGTTTTCAAAGACGCGGAGGACTGGAGTTTTTGCCGAGTCAGACTCGACTCTGATCGCCACTCCGCCTCTTGCTGTAATTCTTAACCCTTCCACACGTATCATTGAGTTTCTTGGGTTTAGACGGTCTTTGACCGTTTGTAGGAGGGCTTGCGGCTCCATATCACTCACCGGGTCAATAATGATTAGATTATTTTGTGCTTCCTTGGCTTTAGCGATTTTTGCTTTTATACTGGTCTTAGCGCTTGGTTGCAGGTTAGGTTTCCTCTTAGCTTGGATACGTTGAGGGTGCGAGCTATCCACCCTTTCAATCGTGGCTAACGGTTTTGGTTTCCGGCTTTGTCTCGGTTTAGCGATCAACCAGTTATCATTGGGCTCAGAGGCCTCATTATTTTCATTGGAACTTATTTTGGTTGGGAGTAGTTTTGGGACTTCTTCTAATTTTTTAATTTTACTCACGCAGTGCGTCAGTTCATTGACAATAGTCTTGACTGGTGAGAATTGCGTTGAAGATTTTGCTGCCTGCAGCTCTGATTCTATCTTATCGAATGCCGGCGTTAGGGCAGCTACAATAGCTTCCACCTGGCTTTCTGGCCTTGTCTTTGCGTGATTAATTGACGCAGTTAGCTGGGCATTTTCCATAGCTATTTGCTGGAGTAGTCCTATGATGCGATCGATCCTCTCACAGACAAACATCGCCGCCGGTTTGGGGCATTTGCTGGTAGGATTGATCATGTACTGAGCCACCTCAGCTCTCATTGTATGGGCTTCAGCACATGCATTAATAAATTTGTTCTTCGGAGGTTTGGTTTTATCATCTGATGCCACTTTACCGTGTCTTTTTGAGCGTCTAACAGTGATTTCAGCGTATGTATTGGGCTGACCTTCGGCTGTGTCAACCGCAGAGGACGAATCACTACACGACTCGCAATCATAGTGGCTGAGAACATTCCGGATTGACGGCTTGTTTGCTTTACATGCTGATCCGGTAGGATCATTGAGTTTTTTGAGGGCTCTTGGTCTAGGAGTCCTTTTAAGTCCAGATCTACGCTCAGAAGCATCAGACTCCTTCGGCTTACGCGAGGCAGGCGTATTCCCAGTTGATGTGCGTTCAATTTCAGGATTGGCGGTGAGCCTAGTCATCTGTTTGGGAGGGCAAGCAGTGCCCGAGCTGCGGTGTAGTAGTGCAGGTCTCGCACGGTCGTTTCCAGTTGGCGATGTTGGTGTTGAGGTTTTCTTGGATGGTTGAGACTCCAAGACCTCCTTTCGTGCCTGTTGGCGTTTGATTTTATTTTCTTCAGAGTACTCTGGGTTATCGTTATATTCTTGCGTATGTTCAATATACATGCCTGGTTCATTATCCATTTTTAGACTTTCCGATATTTGTTCTTCATTTTCATTTTGTTGTTTACTTTTAGTTACCATTGTATTCCCACGATGCGAGGGTTATTTAACTGTCGCCGACAGGCTTACCCACAACCCGCCGGAAGGCGACTTATGTACACAGGGGTGGCGCCAGGTGCCCCTGAGGCTCCGTTCAAGACTCGACTACCCTCGAGCCACGCATACATCAGCACGGGTCGCATGACACTTTGTATTGGGGTTTTCTGTCAGGGTTGGCTCCCTTAGCCTAATAACCTCGTTTAAGCGCCAGGACACCGCTTTTCGTCCACCTCCGTTAGCCGTCCTATCAGGACGTTGCCTGGGAATCACCACGAAGAGGTGGAGGTTGGACTTGGGGTTTCGTCATATCTGACTGTGGGCGTTTCTCAGCGTTTTGTTCGTCGGATGATTAGACAGCCAACCGACGCACCGAGGCCCAAGACCCCCATCAGACTCCCATTGTAACGGTAATCATAGTGTGTAAAACATTTTTTACAGACTAATTTTCTATGGTTTCTTTTCGATATCTGTTTGGCGAAGTCGACCGCCCGATTCGCCCTGAGAAGCCACTAGACGTGCAAGGCGAATCTTCGTCGTTTAAGAGGATGAGGCCAGTGTCTTCGATGAAATTCAATATTGCTTCTTCTCGGTTGTCGACCCGGGCGTCTCCCCACGCCGTATGATGGCTATTGAAGTCGCCAGCTATAATTACAGGCCTGGGCTTATATTTTTCCAGGAGGGTGCTATATTGGGAGATGTAGTTGATGATATCCAGGCGTCGATCACTGTACACAGATATGACCAGGATCTCCTCTCCGTGCCACTGGATAAGGCTGCAGGCCATGTCGCCATCACTTACTGTCCTAAGCTCGCTATTTATCACATAGATTGCCGCGGGGACGGGGCGGGTCCGTGCGATCGAACGATTCGTGAGGCCAGGCCCATGGCCTTATCCACACCCACTCTTCGAAGTTCCTGTGCCAACGGCTACGTTCTAGCCTGTTCGCTACTACTCGCGTCCACACACATTTGTTCGACCTGGAGGTCGAAACCTTCTGGGGGAGGCTCGGCTGTTCGCACAGAGGGTTGCTCGGGTGGGTCGCCATAGTCAGTCGTGCTTCTGGCTTTTACTACCGCTCACATATGCATACAACAGAACAGACTGGCATAACGCCGAGTAGTACATTTCTCTGGTTTTCCAGCTAATGCCCCACGCTGCACCACTAAGGGCCCTAATGGCCAAAATTCGTGCTGGAATCTTCTCACGAGCATAACTGGCGTTTGCTCCAAATCGTAGGCCCGCCGTCATTTTAACTCCGAGATACCTTAGGTCTCGAAGAGCTTTGATGCTTCTTCCGTCTATTTTGATAACCGGAGGGGACCGCATGTTGAGGGAGCCTTATAGGAGCATTAGCTCCGTTTTTTCAGGGGCCAGCTCCAACCGTACTCTCCTGGACCAGGTACTCAGCACGGTTACCGCAGTCTCACCCTGGGGTTCAAGGGCCGCTTTGGTGTTCGCATGGACTATAACGACAAGGTCGTCCACGTAAGCGATCGCGGTGAGCCCTGCGTTCTCCAATTCAGTGAGGCTCCGTCAAACAGTACTGACCACAGGTAGGGGCCAAGTACCGAGCCCTGGGGTATCCCCATCTGTACAGTCCTGCTGCAGTCTTCGCCATATTCCGGTAGGATTACGTGTCGCCCGTTCAGTTAACTTGCGATTGAAGAGCATAAGTCTTTCTCAACTTCTCGGGTGGTCAGCACATCCAGGACGGCCGGCCACCACATACGATCGAAGGCCTTTCTAACGTCGAAAAAGATTCCGATCTTGTACCTGGACGATACCGCCGAGACGCTATCGGCCATTGATCGAATCGTACTGCGTCCCGGCATGCCTCCATACTGCCACTCGAGACCGGGGTCAATCATTGTGCGGAATCTTGCCAATATCAGGTGCTCCATGGCCTTCCCCAGGACCGGCAGGAGGGAGATCATCCGATAAGATGCCGGTTGGTCCACGGGTCTCCCGGTTTTCAGGAAGCACAGACGCTCTGGGAAATATCCTGCCTTGACGCAGTCTACCGCCAACTGGTGGATGTAACGCGTCACCACGCCCGCACATGCCTTAACGACGGCCGCTTCGACTCCAACTACCCCTGGCGCGCGGACGGTTCTTAGCTTGCCAATGGTGCCAGAGATCTCTTCTTCGGTTCATGGAGTAGTCAAGCCATCGGCTGCAATGACTTCCGCTCTGCCTCTGAAATATGTTCCGGCTCATCGTTCGCCCTCTCATCCGCCCGAAAGGCATCGTCGAGCAAAACCAGGTCGGCAGCTCTCGGCCAAGCTGCCCTCGGCCCAACGGCTCTGCAGCCAGTCTACTGGTGATTTTGCCACGAGCGACCTTGGAGTGCAGGCCCCATTTATCAGCCTTATCCTGCTCCTTCTCGAATCGCTTCCATTCTCTTCTTTTGGAACTTCGCAGTTTCTTCCTGAAGGCTTTTTTGGGTTCTAAATATGCCCTCCTGAGATCCTGTCTTTCGAGCGTGTCCTGGCGTCGCTGAGTCAAGCGCCTCAGACGTTGGGCTGTGGCCTTACACTCCGCGACCACGCTAGTCCACCAAACCGGTCCCGGGCGCGCAGATGTGTCGCGGCACAGTTTATACGGCCCCTCGACCAGCGCGGTTGCGAGGATGGCCGCCTTATTATCTATATCTTCCGTGCTTTCAGCTGTCCATAATAGAGTATCTTCTTCTTGTATGCGGCCACCACGTACTACTCTTCCCAAATCGCTTACGTTAACGCGATCCAGACGTATACGTGGTTTGCGTTTAGTGCCAGGATACGACTCGCTCCGCCTCAAATCCACCTAATCCAAGCATGGTCGCTTGTCGTGCCCCCGATATCTATCTCAAACCGTTCGACACGGTGGAAGATCGATCGCCGATTCGCCTTGTGTCGCGCTGTATGTGGGAGACGAATCTTCGGCGTTTAAGACCAAGAGACCAGCGTCCTCTACTAGGTTTATGATGGCCTCGCCACGCCTGTCAACGCCGCCGTCTGCCCATGCAGTGTGATAACAGTTGAAGTCGCCCCCTAACAATATGTTCTTCCCCCTGTGTTGGTCCAGCAGGCGCCGGATACGGGTGATGTCCTCCTGGATATCTCGGCGACTGTCGCAGTACACAGAGGCGATCACGATTTCTTCGCCTGCCCACTCAGCCAAACAACAGGCCATATGCATTCGTCTAGTGCCACGGCCTTTATATTACGATCTTATGGTATCGTCTACGGTTCCAGAAAAAGCCCTGTTGTGTAGACTTTTGCTTAAGATGTGCAATGACTTCATATATAATATATAGTAGTCTTGCGGCACATCAAGCAAGCCACGAGCTTCAATGCAAAATGAGAGTGATGCACTCTCAATCTGCTTTGTCAAGGATGGTTTCGAATCCAATGGTTTCGAAACTTTTGGATCTCTAGCTAATTTAGCTTTTGATCCCGCTGACATGCTTCTACCTCTAGAAGAAGTAGAAGACTTAGCATTTTGAGGTTTGGTAGCTGATATCTTAGTGTTCACAGCGAACAGCTAAGTCCGTTGATGGCAACGAAAATCGCAACGATCTGTGATATAGACGGCTGCCCTCGCACGGGTAGGTTCACGACATCTGACCACTCTGGTCGCCAGGCCCATGGCCCTGTCGATCCCCCGCCGCCACGGTTCTTGGGCAAGAAAGATGCCTACTCCCTGCTGCTGAGCCAGGACTCTTGCTTCGCTGAGGACTGCCTCCGATCCCAGTTGAGCTGGGCGATTCTTAATGGGGCTCTTCTATGTTCTGATTCTATGACCCGTCATGATGAACAGAAAAAGGACGCGGCAAACGGCGAGATGTGGAACGGACTCGGAAATTGATGAAAACCCTGGACATCATAAGATTGTATCAACGGCCAATAAAATAAGAGGGCGAATTGCCCAATATGTAATTGAACCAGCAAATAAATGCTCAAAGCCTGCGGCCGCGTTTATTATAGCGCAGACCGATAGGCTAGTAGCAATGCTGCAAAAAACAGCTACTGAAAATGTCTACCTTAAGGGCCTAAATGATATAAAGCGGAGTGAGGCATCTAGAGGCGCGCGGGACACTGCTGATGCAGTTGTGCAGGCATTAGTCCCGACGATCCAAAACATAGCCGAGGAACTCAGGAAGGCACCGAAAACTGGGCTGTCGCCAATTAAAAGTGTCGTAGCCGAACTAAAGCGATGTGTCGATCAAATACAAGATCAAGAAACTTCGTATATTGCGAAAAAGAGAGAAAGGATGAAAAGTACCTTACCCATGCCGCGCCAACAAGAACCTGAGCAGAATGATCCCAAACCCTCAGTAACGGAACCTACATGCCAAAAAATGAAGCCGAAAATCAATGGCTTACAGTAGTGAAAGGAAAATCTAAGCCTAAGAAAAAGCAGCAACCTGCGACTGAGGCAGGAAGCAAACCCGGTAGGGATAGAGCATCCCTTATGAAAAAAGCAAGGGAAGCGATCGATAATGAGGCTAAAGTAGTCTTTATCGATCCGCGGGAGAATATGGACCCTCAAGAGGTCCTTAAGAAGGTCAAAGATATCATCAACCCTAGGGTAACACGAATCCGGATTGATGATATAAGGATAACAGCAAAGGGCGGAGTAGCCGTCAAGGTGGATGCCCCGGATGACCGACAAACCCTACTCGCCAATGAGGCACTTAGCCAGGCAGGCCTTAATGTGCGAACGGCGGGCAAACGTAACCCGAGACTGTTACTCTTGCGCGTCCCCAAGGAGACCCAGCCGGAGGATCTAATTGAGCAGTTGTCGGCGAACAACAGCCAGGAGGATGCCTGGGAAAAGACTAAAATTCGGCCCTTGTTCACCCTAAAATATGGTAGCGGCACCAGAAAAGAGCCCACCTACGTGTCGTGGGTTATCGAGGTGGACCCGCGAACATGGAAAGTAGCGAATGACCGTGGTAAGGCATACCTGGACTACCAGGTTTGCGTAGCCAAAGATTATACAGGAGTGACCAGGTGCTACAATTGCCAGCTATATGGGCATGTAGCAGCAGTATGCCCAAAGAAAGACCCAGTCTGTGGCATTTGTTCGGATCCCCACGATACGCGGCAGTGCCCGCGGGAGAAGACGCGGTGCGTCCATTGCCATAGATTGGGCAAGGCTAGTGACCACCATGTAGGATCCCTGCAATGTGAGGCACACGCTCGAGCTATTGCGAGAGCTTGGTATGCCACGGACCGGGGGGAAATACTAGACACTGACGATAAGCAGCAAAGCCCTATCGAACAACACAAGCAGGATGCAGCCCTTGGGACCACGGACATGGATACGATAGAGGAAGGCCTTCCCCAAAGAGCTAATCAATGATTGGCCAGCTACCAAAAGAAAATATGTATCGTATTTGTATTTTAATTGTTTTGTATTTTAATTGTTTTTGTATTTTAAATTGTTTTTGTATTTTAATTGTTTTTGTATTTTAATTATTTTGTATTTTAATTGTTTAATTGTGTAATTTTATTATTATTATTATTCTTCCTCCCTCACTGGATTATAGAAATCAGCGTTACATTCACGTACATCAAGAAATGCAAGGGAAAGGCCATACCTCCTCCACCTGAATAATAGATACCCCTACGAGCCGCCTCCGCGAGGCCCATCCCGGACACAATTTGTGACGAAGAGCTCGGCAGGTGGAGTTGAGATGCGACCGTTAAAAGAATATAGCGAATAAAGACAAAATAGAACAGGAGTGGGGAGAAGAACGAGCATAATATTTATTTATTTTTATAATTTATTATATATATATATGGTNATTTTTTGCACATCATGAAACATATTTATAAAAGTATTTACTAGAAATACTTTATTTTACATTTTTTGCACATCATGAAACATATTTATAAAAGTATTTACAACATGGAATTAAATCCGTCTGTCGTTGGAGATAGTTGTAAACGAGAAGAAAACAAATGAGAAGAAAAAAAGCATATATAAAGCAGGAGTGTGTATGACAAAAAAAAAGAAAATAAGGAAAAATAGAAGATTTAAAGGAAACTTGTTACTTCTTGAGAATTAATACTGTTACGGTCCAAACCTCACGCAGGTGGCCAGCCGGTCAGTGGTGAAGGGGGTGGGTTAATGGAAGGAAAAAAAAAGTAAACGAAAGGAATAAAAATGTTGGGCTCCAGTCGTTCTCCCTTTTGTGTCCAGAGGAAACAAAAGAAGAAGCGACAAAAATAATAATAATAATAATAATATAAAGAGAAAAAAAAATGTAGATAAGAAACGGGAACTAAATTTTAATGAAGAAAGAAAACCGGAAAGGCATAGGAAGAGAGAAAGAGAGGTGAAAAGGAAAAAAAAATATTTGGTCGTAGAGGTTCCACGGTTGGGAGTCAGCGACTCTATCCACACTGCCACCGAGGTCTGATGACGGAGCTCCTTCCGTTGGTCTTGAAGCCGCGCGGACCCTTAAAAATTACTCATAATAACACTAATAATACAGGTAAAATAGATAAATAACAGATAGATCCCTTAATACAATTTATTTAAAAACAAAAAAAAAGCCTTTTTTTTTCTCTTATAACTAAAGTAACAACGCTAAACTAAAAGAAATTAACTTAGTACTAATGTCCTCACCAGCAAAAAGAAATCATGAACAATAAAAAAAAGGTACCTCTCATAGTTAGAACATAAAATACTTTAATTAGCAACTAATAACAACGTGTGTATACACGCTTCACGATCGTTTATTGAGTCCTACACCGATCTTCGTCTTTGTTGAAACACGAGGACTTAAAGTCAGGCCTGACCACCACCACACAAACACACTTATCTGTGGATGAAGTATTTCCTCCTTTACTTCGTTCTCTCTTGAAAAATCACCAGCGAGCTTGATCCGTCCGTGTCGCCACGCCGACCTGACCTAACTCGTCTCTCTCCACTCCTCCTCTCGACTCCGGTCCCTTCCAAACCATCGCGCGGGTCGTTCGAATGTTCCTTCACTTTTCAAGCAGAGAGTACTTTAAATTTTATCCCCTTTTTTTGTTCCTCTTAAAAAAAGGGGTAACAATACATTATAGAACACCTTATAATTAATTTCATAGTGTCGACAATCATTGCATATCTAAAAGCCAACCAAGCTAAGCGTTTCCTATATTTAAACCGGAAATTTTTCCAATTCTTTTTCGAGCAGTGATTTGTTTGAAAGCACGTAAGTAGTAGTAGCATTTAGTACGTCCAGGGTTCTCTGTGATTTCACTAGGTTTATCCATGTTGTTGGGTTACAATCTCAGATTAAAAACAAGTTGCTGTTAACACAAACTATTATTATGCGAATCGGTGCAGGACAATTATTGTATAAAGATAAGATTTAATGATGGAAAATGAACAAGCGTAAAAGAGATCTTATAGGGAATTGTATAAAATTATCGAAATGCAAATTGAAAAAGGCCTCCACACACTGTCATTTGGTAGTCTTTCTCAAGCGATACGGTCCCTGGTAATTTGTTAATAAGCGGCTTTTTGCTAGTGTGTACTTGTTGTCGTCAGTTGATGAAACAATGTCCCAAATATTTTCGACGACGTTTAAATCTAATTGAGCAATGAGATAGTTAAATTTAGTTTGTTCCTGTGTTACGCCAGATAATTGAAATTGTGCTTCCACCTGGTAGAACCATATTTCTGGTTTGTCTGCCCAGAATGGAGGGATCTTGACGCTAACCCTTTCTATGAAGTTGGATTGATTGTGAGGTCGTTTGGTCCGGATTATTGATGAGTGTTTTCGTTGTTAGCCATTTTGTGTTTCTTACTGATCCAATTAAATACTGAACAAGAAAAAGATTTAAAAAAAGAAGAATGAAACTCGCGTCGAGGTCACCAATGTGGGTAGATACAGTTTGAGTAACCACGCACTACTCGTTTGCACAACAATTTATTTATTTAAACGCTACAAGATCAAACGCACGTTCTTCCGCCCGCTTCGTGCTTCTCTGCTATTCTCGTCTCTCGCCACGTGCTATTCCAGCAGTGTTGCCCCACACACTTCGCTCCATTTGTGGTAATTGCTCTTGGTAATCCGAACCTTGCAAATAACTCTTGCAGTTTTTCTTTTACGACTGCTGCTGTCACTAACGTTACAAAAAGATTTTCGATCCATTTTGATGTTGAATCCATTACAACTAGACAACAGTGGTTGCGGTTGATCAGTCCTAAAACATCAACATGAAGCCTTGTCCAAGTTGTTAATAGCCATGATTATGGCTGAAGAATGGATTTCGGAGGGTTTCCCTAAATCTGCAGCAAACTTCGCAATCTTAGATACGTTTTCAATGTCGTTATCCAATGAAGGCTACCAGAAATATGAACGAGCTAGACTCTTCATCTTTGTTGATCCAAAATGATTTGCATGAAGCTCTCGTAGAACTGTTTCTCGAAATTTCTGGGGGATAATAACACGGTAACCCCACATCAGACATCCTTTCTCCGCGGTGAGTTCTTTATCCCGTCGAATAAATGGATCGTAACCCATTTCTTTTGGTAGTCTATAGCCTTGAACAACACTGTTAACCACTTTTGATAACGTTGGATGCGTATATGTCGTCGAATTTCCATGGCCATTTCACTACAATTTTTGTTATTTTGTAAAATTGTGAGTGAAATGAGCTGTCTGTCAAGATATTCGCAGTTTTGTCTGTCTCGCTAGGTTCATGTTTGCATAACCATTTTAAACTTTCATGTATTGCTAGCATCTCAGCCTGGTTGTTAGAACACCAATCATAATTAATCCCATTTCTCCCATAGATAACGCTGCTGCAACATACTAGGCCATTTATTTGACTGCCGTCTGTGTATATATAGAGCAGGGGTGGCCAAGCTCCTTGATAGTCCGAGCTATTTTTCAAAATTTGAAATTTTTCGCGAGCCGCAATTAAATACGTATTTAAAAGGTATGCAAAAAAGGTATTAAATTTTTTTTTACAGAAATCATATTTATTGAAAACATAAATAAAAGTACAAAATATGTGTATTGAATTTAAATATTAAAAATTAAACACATTTATTTTATTTCTCTTGATAATTCTTTAAAATTTGGTGAATAATTGGTCACAGCACTTCTCAGTAATTCTTTGAAATGCTGGTTAGTTAATACTGATCGGTGTTTGGATTTCACGAATTTTAAAGTGGAATAAAATTATTCACATAAGTAAGTTGTTCCGAATATTGAAATAATTCGACAAGCCGCCTTTTTTAATTCAGGATACTTCGGTTCTGGTACAAATTTCCAAAATTCAGTAATCGACGTCGACTTATATTTTAATTGTAGAGCTTGACCTTCTTGCATCTCTATTAATTCTAATTCTCCAGATGCTTTTTGGGTCATAATTATTTTGGAAATGGAAAACTCACCTTGAATTATGTTAATTTCAAATGGAAGTTAAATAATCGCTCGATGAAGAAGACTTTTTAAAAAGAGAGAATAAACTTTATTATCAAGAACTGTACAATGTTTAATGTTAAACCGACAGAGTGACGGGTAGGAGGCTATCGTAAGAGTGAGACATTGATATTTTGAGATTAGGGTTTTTATACTAGTTTTAAGTGGTGCTCCTTAAGATGACGAATGGCCGTCTGGACTCGCCAGGCATTGTTGACATGTTGGTTTTTTAAAAGGCGTTTTGCTATTTCATAACTTTTTAAGAGGTGCTCCTTAAGTTGATGAATGGCCATCTGGACCCGAAGTTCGAAGCTCCTGCGAGAAAAAAGGTAGTCTTGAAAAAGCGGACGATGCAGGTGTTGGCTGAGCGTTTTCATCTTGACGGACTTCATGTGTTGATTCCATCTCGTGTGACGATTGAAAAGTTTTCTTACGACGCCAGCAGAGAAAAGCATACGTGGGGACGGCTAATATTAGGCCGATAGATATTATAATATAAATGTAAATATTTAAAAACCTTGAGGGAGTTTCCTCTAAAAGTTCAAATGGTTGCATTTTTATATTTACAACATGTAAATTTTCAAAAGATATGTTGGTTTTTACTTGGTTAGACACATCTGCTATTGTTAACAAAACTTTAGTTTCTTTAAAAATTGGTATCGTCTTTACATTTAACAATCTTTCGTTGCTACTTAATTTCATTAGGCTAGTATTCGTTAGGAATACAGTTTCATTAGTATTATTTCTAATAATTACAATTTTCTTAGTCTTATATGCTAAATAATGGTCGGTAAAAGGTACATATTTTATAAATGGTTCACTTGATGTAAAAACAGACTTACAATTAGAACTATTTTCGTTTGTTAATATTTGTTTTATACAATTATTATTGATTTTTGATTTATTTGTACAATACGTAAAGTTATTAATT